TTCTTCTTCTTCTTCTTTTTTTTTTTTTTTTAATTTTTAAAATTTTCTGCAACATGGCCAGGCTGGATTCGAACCCATCAGCTCCCGTGTATGTGGCTGGTGCCCTACCTCCTGGGCTACAAGCACCAAGCCAAAGGCTTACCTTTTCTTAACAGTGTGTTTTGTAGAACTGAATTCCCTAATTTTCATTTGGTCCAATTTAGTATCAGAAATGTTCCATATGCCTGGGACTCAATCTCATAAAAGATATGTCTCTGTGGTTTTTTTTTTTGTGTGTGTGTGTGTGTGTGTTGTCAAAAAAATCATTCTCTCTAGAAGTTCATGGAGATATATTCTTATATTATCTCCTGTAAGCTTCATTGTTTTGCTTTCACAGTTAAGTCTACAGTCCATCTGGTGTTATTGTTCATACAGCTTATAAGGCAGAAATCAACTTACATCTTTTTCCTTTTGGGTTCCTAAATATCCCAAAACAATTCACTGAAAATTTCCTCCTTTCACCTGCAACTCTGAAATGCTGCATTTGTCATAAACATGATGACTTATTATCCAAAGTGACTAAATGTTGGGAGTTAAATTGGGCATTGCTAATAATTGCATTGGGACAAAGGGGTAAACAGGCTGTCTTAGGCGAAAATGGTTCTACTCACCACAAATCAGGGTTCATTTCATGGGAGGCTATTTCTAGACTCTTCGTTCTATTCCATATTTGATCATTCTTGTACCAAAACTGCTCTTATTCCTGCAGTTTTAGAATAAGCCTTGATTCAATTAGGTACGCCTTCTTACCTTCTTGGCCCTTTACATGACTATGTAACCATTAGGGCCACTTTCCACATTTCACAGAAAAGAAAAGAAAACACCAAAAAACCAATTGTGTTTTTGATTAGGATTACACTGATTCTATACATCAATTGACATATTTGAGATCTAGAACCATGACCATGGTATAGCTCTCCATGATTCAGATCTTCCTCTTTTTCTTCCAATGTTTATAGTTTCCTGTATGGAGTTCTGAACAACTTTTGTTGGACTTATTTCTAGACACTAGAAATATTTTTAATGATATTATAAATGGCATTCTAAAACACTGTTGATGAGACTTGGCACCTATGGCTCAAGTGGCAAAGGCACCAGCCACATACACCTGAGCTGGTGGGTTCAAATCCAGCCCAAGTAGCCGAACAATAATGACGGCGGCAACCAAAAAATAGTTTGGTATTGTGGTGGGTGCCTGTGGTCCCAGCTACTTGGGAGGCAGAGGCAAGAGAATCGCTTGAGCCCAGGAGTTGGAGGTTGCTGTGAGCTGTGATACCACTGCACTCTACCCAGGGTGACAGCTTGAGGCTCTGTCTCAAAAAATATATAATAATAATTATTAAAAAAAATAAAAAACTGTTGATGTTACCTAGAAATACAAATTAACTTTGTAAATTGAACTGGTAACCAGCAAACTTCGTTAAGTCACTTAAAATCTAATAATTTAGACTTTCTATAAAAGTAATCTGAAAGAGTATGAGATTTGTTCTTCTTTTCAAATTACTATGTATTTTATTTATTTTTTTTCTTGAGTTACTGCATCGGCTAGGATCTTCATTAAATTATTGAGTAAGTGATACTAACATACATCCTTGTCTTGTTCTCAAACTGTACATCGATTCTCCTTTAATTTCTTTGTCTCTGTTGTTTCATTGTGAGGGCATGTTATTGGGTGCGTGCAAACTTAGAATTGCTACATATTCCTGGTGAGCTGAATCTTTTTATTCTTATGAAATATCTGTCTTTCTCTCTAGAACAAAAAACTCTATTTTGCCTGGTATTTTTTTTTTTTTTTTTTTTGAGACAGAGCCTCAAGCTGTCCCCCTGGGTAGAGTGCCGTGGCATTACAGCTCACAGCAACCTCCAACTCCTGGGCTCAAGCGAGTCTCCTGCCTCCGCCTCCCAAGTAGCTGGGACCACAGGCGCCCGCCACAACGCCCGGCTATTTTTTGATTGCAGCCATCATTGTTGTTTGGCGGGTCCGGGCTGAGGATTCGAACCTGCCACCTTAGGTGTACGTGGCTGGCGCCTTAGCTGGTTGAGCTATAGGCGCCGAGCCTTTGCCTGGTATTAATACAGCTACATCTCATCGTTAGTGCTTGGATGGTATATCTTTTTCTATTCTTTTCCTTTCAAACTATCTCTGTTCTTGTATTTTATATGTATTTTCTATAAATGCCGTATAGTATTTTTTTTTTTTTTTGAGACAGAGTCTCACTCCCAGGGTAGAACACCATGGCATCTTCAGCAACCTCGAACCCTTGGGCTTAAATGATTGTCTTGTCTAAGCCTCCCGAGTAGCTGGGACTACAGTTGCCTGCCACAACACCTGGCTAGTTTTTTCTATTTTTAGTAGAGATAAGGTCTTGCTCTTGCTCAGGCTGGTCTTGAATTCTGAGCTCCGGCAACCCACCCACCTGGGCCTCCCAGAGTACTAGGATTACAGCTATGAGCCACTGCTCCTGGCCACCATATAGCATTTTTTTCAATCTCCTCTGACCATTTTTGTTCTTTAACTGGAACATTTAGTCAATTTACATTTTAAGTAATTACTTAAATATGAAATATTTAGAGTTTTACATACCACCTTGCTATTTGTCATGCCTGCTCTAGGTATCATTTTCTTTCCTTCTTTTGGATTGATTATGTATTTTTTTTTTCTCTTTGGTTTAGTTTAGAAATTATAGATCCTTTTACTATTTTTCAAGCAGTTACCTTACATACTGCAGCACACATTCCTGACTTGCCAAAATCTAATGTAATTGTAATTGTACTTTATTCTCTTCCCAGACAACGCAAGGAACATAGAACTTTTAACTTTCTTTCCTGGACTTCACTGTTATCATTTTGTACATATTTGAAACTCTGTAGACATTATCGTTACTCTCTTCTAGGGTCAGTATTCATTTAAATTTACCTCATTACAAATGTTCTTTCTTTCTTTTTTTATTGTAGCTTGACATTACTTATGCATAAAGAAAATCCATGGGGCACTGCCTGTGGTTCAGTCCATAGGGCCCGGGCCCCATATAGCAAGAGTGGTGGGTTCAAATCTGGTTCCAGCCAAAGTGAAACAAAAAAATAGCCAGGCATTGTGCGGGCACCTGTGGTCCCAGCAACTTGGGAGGCTGACACAAGAGAATCGCCTAAGCCCAAGAGCTAGAGGTTGCTGTGAGCTGTGATGCCACAGCACTCTACCAAGGGTGACAAAGTGAGACGAAAGAAAGAAAGAAAGAAAGAAAGGAAGGAAGGAAGGAAGGAAGGAAGGAAGGAAGGAAGGAAGGAAGGAAGGGAAATCTTCACAAATTTTTTTTTTTTTGAACCCTAGAGGGTCTTCTGGCTTTCATAGTTTCTATTGACAAATGAGTTGTCTTTGCAGTTGCTATGCTTTTGAGGGTACTTTATCTTTATCTTGGTTGCTTTTATCTGGTTTCTTTTATGATCTTCTGTCAGTCTTTGGATGTCTGCTGTTTCACTAGGATTTGTCAAGAAATGGATTTCTTCGTTTTTTCCTGCTTGGGGTTTAAGCCGTGTTCTTGACTCTGTGAACTTTTTATTAATTTCAGAATAAACATTTTGGATGTTATTCTATCCAGTACTGTCTCTTCTCTTCTCCTATCAAACATCTTCTCACTACTTCTGTGAGTCTCTTATCCTTCCTTTTTGTATTTTCCATCCTTTTAACTTTAGAGGGTTTTATTTACTAAGTTAGTCTTTTGGGAAGAAACTATGAATAATTTCTTCAAACTTGCAAATTCTCTCTTTAGTTTTCTAATTTTTCCTTAAGTCTTACATGAGTTCACTTGTTATTATATTTTTGAGCCCTAGAATTTCTGTCTTATTTTCATTCAAATATCCAGTATCTCTTTTAAGTTTCCAATTACCTGCTGAAGTTTTTCCTGTTTTCTTTTGTCATCTTGATCACAGAAAACAGTGTTGTTTTATGACTTGTATATGATGATTCTAATATTGGGAGCCCCTGTGCTGTTTCTATTCTCTATCTTTTGTGCTGGCTTCAGTTTACGTTGCCATGGCTCCTCAGCTATCTTTGTGTATATGCTGGGGAGTGTATTGAAAAGCTGATTTTAAACATAATTTGAGGTTTATGGATAATTTTCCCCCAGAGATAATTTTGTTTGTTCTGCAATATACCTGTGGGTAGCAGCAAACTGGGATGAATGTAATCCAATTCCAGAAACTGGACATTTCTAGACTGTCCAGTGACTTGTAACAGAGCCGCATTCTAAGCTGGTTCACGCATACTCTCAGGGTATAGCTCTTAGAGTACCAAACAAAAGCAGAGGAAGTATAATATAATGGGACCCCCTACTCTATCCAGCCTTCAAGATTATCACAATCCATGCTTCACTTCTCCTTTCCCTTTTTCAGATTGGTGAATGCCCCTGGGACAGAAGTGCCCCCTGTTTCCAGATTCGCCTTTCTATAGGTCCAATTTCTTCCAGATCCTAGTTCAGTAATTCTTCATGATCATTCTTCACTTGTTATTGGCTGATATTTATTTATTTATTTTGGCTGGGGCTGGGTTTGAACCTGCCACCTCTTGCATATGGGGCCAGTGCCCTACCCTTTTGAGTCACAGGTGCCGCCCCTTTATTGTTTTTTTTATTTTTTTATACTTGCCTTCAGAGGCCTGAGTTAACTAGTTCACCATTTGAACTAGATGCTCTCACATAAAACATAAATTGGATTCTAGTCTCTGTTCTGGAACTTTCCAGCTGTTTTGAACTTCAACAATTTGCTTATAGTCTACAAGCCCATTTCCTCATGTACAATTTGAGCAGGGTCTCTGGGGCTCCTGCAAATCAGTTTCTATATGCATGATAGGCTGTAAATCACACAGTGAATTTTAGGATCAGGAGTCCAGGGGAGAGTTACAGAAGGTAGTGAGTAATGCTTTCCATTTTGATAGGGAGAAACAAGAGGCCTGACATCAGTCTGGCTCAAAGAATCTTAGGAAACTTTATTAACTCCCAATGCCCACCAGCCTTGCAGGAACAAGAAAACAGAGCATTTCAAGCCCCATTCAAAGAAGTACAATGGACAAAGTCAAAAAGCCTCCAACCATATCCCATTACAGCCTTTCACAAAGCCATCCCATCACCATGACAACATGCATCCTTGAGAGAAGGCAAGAGCCTCAATCAGAAAACACACAGGAAGACAGTTAACAGTGAAATATTCGCAACCTTTTGCTCAGCAGTTTCTCCTACTAGAATCTTCTCTGCACAGTCTCTTGGCATCTTTTACTGTGAGACACCCACTTCTTCACTTCATTTGCTCCTACATGGACTACATATTACACATAAGGAACAAAAAATGGAATACAGGTCATGACCAGGTGGCCTTTTAATTGAACAGTTTAAAAACTAGAGGGCTGTAAGAGAATACTAATCCTGCAGAGCAAAGGACAGGGACTTTGGGCAGGGCAAGTTTGTCTTTATAATCCGGGCCCTCAACTGGGGCACTCTACTATATTGAATATTTTTTTAAATTCTGCCTTCAACAGTCAGGGTGTCTTACCAAAATTCTAGCTGTAAAATGAATGATCATTTTGTCAGGTTTTCCCATGGCTATTAGGAGCGTACAGCATTACTACATTGTCAAGAATCTAAACATCTGATTTATTCTTTTTTAAAAAACCCGATACATTCAAAAGCCATCACTGGGTTTTTTCAATGTACAAAAATAAAAATAAGCATCTGTGCCAAAATTCATAGGTTCAAAAAGCCAACAGGGTTGAACTTACAAAGAATATTCAAGATTTGTTTCTGGAAAGTAGTTTTATTGGTAAAAAGATATAGGAAAATCATCACCATGGAAAACCAAGGTAATAAAGCTCTAAGTTTGATCTTGTATTGACACAGTCTCTTTCTTCTATGGGGAAGAATATCTGCCCATGAACAGGATGCTGGCTGAGGGATTGTGCCGAATAAAGAAAAGGAACGGACGGTCGGCAATGAAAGTTTCCCCTGGAATCAGCATACAGAAGGCAACCACCCCTGCTGTTGCAGCCGCTGCCTCTGTACCCTCTTCATTCACTTCCACAAAGGACTTGTGGACAATTTTTGATATAAAAATATCTCTGGCTCCTGACATGCCAGACAGATCAGCCTTGCTGCCATTGAAGAGGTCCTCCACACCCAGGCGGGCGAGGTTGGTGTTGAGGACGTAGCTGTCTTCCAGTTTGAACCGGGGCAAGCCAACATTGACTTGAGTGACTTCCAAATGCTCAGGTTTGGTCCACTCATGCAGGTTCTCCCAAGTCAGTTGTTCTTCAATCTGAAATTAGAATGTGGAGGAAAAGAAGAGGTGAAATCACTTTTATATAAGGCAATAAGGCATTATTTAAATGAATGGGCCCATAATATTAGTTGCTAGTTTCCCTCATGCTTTGTGCCAAAACAGATTCCATCTGGAGGATTCATTTCTTTCTCCAACTGGGGAAATAGACAGAGCTGTGGTTCAAATCATCCAGGGTCCAAACATAGAGACTTTGGACATGGGGTACATCATCCATCCTCCCCACCCATCCACTCACCCATCCATCAACCCATCCATCCACCCATCTAGCCATCTACTCACCTGCCCACCCATTCAGCCACCCATCTATCCATCCACCTAGGACCTGCTAAACCCCTACTGCAACAGATTACTATGATGGGCTACAAGAGCTATTATTACCCTAACTGGCTAAGTGGTGCTATGGGAAATTCAAAAGCCTTCTATTTATTCCAAATCCCAGCAAGCTGAGGTTATCTGTGAACCTCACTGGAGCTGAGGTAATGTCTAATAACTTTAGCTCTTCGGTAAAAATTAAAAAGGCAGATGATGCACTCAATCTAGCTTCTGGTCTAAAATACAAATAATAATTTCACCTACCTTACAGCATGTTGTGAGCATTAAATGAGCTGATAAACATAAAGTGCTTGGCACATAGTAAATGCTAAATAAATGTTAGCTATTATCATTATTATCATTGTTATTGTTATTATTGCTAGTGCACTGGAACAGAACCATCGTTCCACTTGTTCTACTAATGCTGATAATCCCTTCCATGAGGCTAGAGATTTTCACTTTATAATTAAAGACTAATGTGGCTTGGGGCCTATATCTCAGTGGCTAGGGCGCCAGCCACATATACCGGAGCTGGCAGGTTCAAATGCACCCTGGGGCCACCAAACAACAATGAAAATACAACCAAAAAATAGCCAGGTGTTGTGGCAGCACTTGTAGTCCCAGCTACTTGGGAGGCTGAGGCAAAAGAATCACTTAAGCCCAAGAGTTTGAGGTTGCTGTGAGCTGTGACACCATAGCACTCTACCCAGAATAGCAGCTTCAGACTCTGTCTCAAAAAAAAAATAATTAAAGACTAATACAAACATACAACTGAAGAAGGACCACACTGATTTCAACACCTGCTCTCTACAGGCAAATGACTACTATTAGATCCCCTTCCTGGTAGCAAGTTGAGTTGAGAAGCAGGCAAAGGAAAACCACAGAGCAGGCTAGGGTCACTGAAGGAAAACTGTAATCCTCACAGGTTTGCCTGCTTCTAACCCTGGAAAGAAATCCAACAGCTTTGAAATTATATACAATGGAAGCCTCATCAGAGTTCATTTAGGAAATAACCTAACATGTCATATGAGTCTTTTCCTCTATCACGTACCTATTGGAAATGTAATCTCTCTATGAATTGTGGTGACACTGAACAGAGTAACGATAGGAAGTTAGAGTCTATGATGAACTGTATGCTACAATGTTTGGGTTTTTAGGTGTCTCTCCTCAGTAAAATAATCCTTATCCGACTGCACTGTCCTCTAATGTAAATTCAAGAGCCTTCCTCCACCTGCTGCTTCTCAACATTACATTTAGTATAGATCTTCAGGTGACCCCATCACAAGTGACCACTGAACAGAAGTAGCTGGACAGCTTTCTTAAAATGTTAAACTTTGGTCATGAGAGCAGTAAATGAGCGGTGACATTTACAAAGGAATAACAAAGGATTGGAAAGGAAATGTCAAGTAACATCAGTGAACACCTAACAGGCACCCATGGTGCAATACCCACACGGGAAGAAGCAATGTAACAACAGGAAACACGAAGCATGAGACTCAGGAGCGTTACCTTCTTCAGACCTGTCGAGTCATCCTGGATGTCGTCGGGCAGCAGAATGAGCATGCTCAGCTCCTTGCCCTGGTAAGGCAGTTCCAGCACATGGGTCTTAAGGTCCTCGATGTAGCCAAATGGAAATTTTTTCTCCTGATACATCATTTTCACTGTTTTTGTGTCTTTCTGAACAGTTAAAAAAAATCACTGAAATTATTCTCTACATTCTTGTAGAGCAAAGAGTGATTTCGGACAGTTACTGTACTCACCTTATTCAATCTGAATGGTGCATCGGCTGTGGCTTCTTTCAGGAATTGATTCTGCCAGTTTCCCTTGAAATAGATGGCATTCACTAACACAAGCTTAGTCATGCTATCAACCACACCTTCAGCCAACAGTTCTGGAATTTTCCCTAAAAAATAAAGTAAGCTTTTAAAAAAAATCTATAGTGAAATTCCAAACTTGAACAGACAATTTATTAGGACTCAAATGCAATTCAAAGGCATACTTTCTATGTAATTTTTATTTAACATGATATTAAGTTAAGAAAGCCCTACAGACAGGTCTCTACAGGTAAACCCATTTGTGAGACAGACCATGACAATGCACAAACTACTCCAAGGAACTAATACTTTAAATAAGCCAAATATATATTTAAAAAAATAAAAAATAAATAAGCCAAATATGCAAAAAGACTACAGACAGAAAAATTCCCCTTTTCTGGAGTCAATGATAAACAGTGAGCCTTATTTTGTAAATTCTTTTTCAGAAAAAGAAGTATGTAACAAAAATGTTTTTAGTTGCTAGTGAATTGTTTCTTTAAATCTGAGGAGGGGATGTTTGCTCTCACAAAAAAAGATTTTAACAGACACCCAAAAGGTAGGACAATTACTCCTCTGAAACAAAGGCCCACAAGCAAGGCCAGAAACAATTCCTGCAGTGGAAGCCCCGCCTTCTGGAGGTGTGGTGACTCCTCCAGGGACCACCTATGAGGAGGAGAAGCAGTCAGTGAACACTGAGCCCTGAGAGTGAGTCAGTCCCCACCCACCATGCCCCATTTACTGGACAAGATGTTGACAAGAAATGTTTATGGCCACGGCAGTTTAGGCATACTGATTTCACATACTCTATGAAATTCTACACTATTTCTTTCCCTATGTGTGTTCAATTATTTTCCTCAAGACTTTTATTTATTTTAATCTACTTCTAATGTTAGTTTTAACTTTAAATATAGTTTGGGGAAGCTTATGGAGGAAAAGGGACTCATTTGCTTCAGTTAGTTTGTTAGTTTCCAACCCGATGATTCTGTAACAAGTGACAGCTGTCCAGCACGGGGCAGGGCAGACCTCACATCCAGGGAGCACCCCCTGACTGCAAACATGCATGAGTGAGACTAGGTGGGGAGAATAAGATGAAGGTAGGGACAGTGGACAAAGGAAAGGAATGAGCCACCCACCAGATTCCACTCTGCCCAGTATCTCCTACCTTCTGTCTGTCCTTTGACCCACTGGTTTATGGTTTTCCTTGCATCTTCATAGGCATTCTGAAAATCTACACTGG